AGAAACTACGTGTGTGTGCACATGACTATAGCTAGGAGGAAAATAATCTCCTTCCTCTTAGCGAGACTAGTTAGTTTTCCACAGTGCAGAGTATTTATCTAAGCAGCGGAGGGTAGTCCATTGGTCTGCAGAACTGAGTCCAAGAGCGGTATCCAAGAGCCGACTTCAGTTGCAGGCAGTAATTCTAATACCATATACTAAAGTAGTAAAAAAAATTGGACAATCACAGAACTTGCGCGGTATCAGTGTGTATATTAACCTTCACACGTGTACTTTTTCGTGCACTAAGCCGATTGATTTGGCTAGTACGAGGAAATTCATACAGAAGGCGGTAATTCCTAACAGCAGAGCACGAAATACGGTCACTACCCCTGTCAGATTTATTCGGCTCGCAATCTCATCTAAAAAACTGTCATGACACGCCCACGACCTAATGGATGCCTCTTACATATCTCCTATACGTTAGAAGTTCACAGGAAATTCTAATACCCAATATAACGATTTCGTACAAACATAACCACCTCGCACCTCGATCCCGCCGATGCTCGAGTCAAAACCTAAAATACCAATTCAAAGATGTCATGTTTTCTGACGACAACAATTAAATAAGTGGGCGTAAGCTCTGCGCTACCTTGTCAAATACTGGTGTATATGAGTGTGTAAGCAAACGGTATTTTTGGGAGTTGTAGATTAGCGCGCCTTTAAAAACTAATAAATGAATATTATTTTCTAGTATTTTATTGTAATGCCTAATAGAAATACCCTTCACGCCAACATGCATTCTAGAAATCTGCATTCTGTTTTGCCACATTTCTGCGTCTGTTAAGTATCAACTACATGTTGAGCCTGTAGGAACTGTGCGTTAGAGGACTTGCCTGTCAGCAGGGAGAAAGTCGCGCGTTTTCACTGTGACGCATGACGTGTTGGACGCTGCGGGTGCAGCACCGCCTCCGGCCTCCGCCACTTGTGTAACCGCTGGCACACCGGCTGCCGTGAGTCGTCACGATTACGTCTCCCGCAAATCAGCGCCAAGACGATCAAATATCTTTTATTCCTCTCGCAGTGCTCCTTCTGCACAGGACGGTTACCGCGACAACGAGCGGCTGTCTAAACCACTATGCGCTACTACAAACGTGTCTGTGCGCTGCAACTGGCAGACGGACCACGCGCGACCAACCTGCAGGAAGAACGCCCGCAACTGCGCGTGCGACCCACGGCGAGCCCGACTGACCGACTTCAGCGCTGCCGCGTCCTACGAACGTGACAGCAGAAGCGCGCGCTGAGTCGGGCGAGGAGATGCCCCGATTGGGAGGCCTGGCTCGGCAACAACCTAGAGAAGGGAGCCGCAGCCTAAACGAGGATCCCAAATGGCAAGGTAGGCTCGTGCCCGTGAAGTGACCCCGCCTGTCTATCGCGTACGATAAGTGTGGCAAGGATAAAGTGACGACTGACGCGTGCCCTCCCGAACGAGCGAGCACCTGAACGGAGGTCTGCACGGGACCGCGCGCTTGATTGGTAATCTGACTGGCTATTGATTGGGCCAGGTGTGTTGATTGAACCGAAGACATCGCAGGACGTACCTGTGTGCAATCACATCAGTTATATTACCTGCCAGTGTGTCCAACATTCCGATCATGCAATTATGTAATATTGTGAACTCATAGTGCCAGCTTACTTGTTGCCAGAATCCAGGAAAAAAGTTCTATAATGATACAGAGTTTTAGCGTGACAGCGTAAACTGAGAGCGTTGTCAAATGAGAGTATGTGGAAGGCACGGCAAGGAAAAAATATGCAAGTGCATGGCATACATTCGATGCAACTAGTATCAATCATTCTCGAATCCATGTGGCCATGCAGGTTTATTTTGACAACGTTGTAAGAATATAAGGGATTGAATATGACGGCTGCATAAATATCCTCATGGATGCATGCGTGCTGTCTTTACGGGTATGTAATGAGTTTCTGTACTTTAAAGTTTGAAATAATAGTGTCCGGCTAAAATCACTTCATGTTCGATTGAGCATTGTCCATCAGAAATCATGCTCTCGTTAAAGAAGCAATGCCGTTTTTTCGGTACGAATTTGATTGACAGCGTACTGACTGTAACTTAACGGCTTCCATAATTACAAATTATTAGGATCTAATGTAGGTAAGTTGATCAGACAGAAGCAATGCACGCTTAGGGGGGGGGCACTGTAGCTTTCCAAGCAAATGTTCATGCAATTTAGTCAAACGTTTGGCAGCATGGGCAGGTCAAACTGAGATGTGTTGGTACTTTTTAAGATAATTGTGCTTTCTCTCAGATGCCACACTGTACTGGCAATTAGTAAACGCTTACAAGTGTTCTTGCAAGTTACACATTTGGGTGCGCCGTTAAATATGTAGAACGCCCTGTAACTGTTGCAACACGCTTATTGTTACCTATTCCTAAGGTTTCAGATTAGCATTTTGTTCAGCTTTCCCCGCCACTAGCTGTTAATGTTTTTTAGCTATTGACATAGTCAGATGCAGCTGTAGAATCGGCATGATCGTGCCGAGCGTCTACCGCGTCCCGTCCCGTCACAGTTGGCAGCATAATCTTTAAGCCGCTCGACGTACGGTGCCGATATTTCGGGACGTGGGGGGTAATCCGAAAACGAAGTTGGGATGTCGAAAGCTGGAGTCCAAGTCAAAGTCAAGAGGTGTAGAAAGAAGGGGGAACATTCACAATCTCTTAAACTTAAGTATAGGGAGGAAATGCAGATTGCGGCATCAAATCTTAAACGGCTCGAACCTAGGCTCGTGATAGTCGGTGTATAGCATCATGGTAGGAAAAGCCACTCCTGTGGCCGAAATTGAGGTCGACAGGTCAAAAGGTCAATGGCAGCAGGGCAGATTTTAAGACATTTTCTGCAGACATTGTCTGACGGAGGCGATTGAAAAACTTTTTTTTAGGCGTGACCTAGCATTTCATGGCTTTTGAAAGGACCATGAAATCATTCTTTGCACTGACATGCGAAGAGTAAGTGTCGGATACCTTTGACCCTCAAGAGGATGGTTAAACCATGATTTGTTGAATGTTTAACAAAGGACTGAACTGCTTTGCTATTATTAGAGCCCATACCTGTGTCAATGTGAGGCTACAGTTGCACAGTTTAATTGCCAAAGGCAAAGGTTTGTTGAACCAATGGTTACCGCTGCCTTAACATCATATCAATTTCTAGCAGTTCTGTCTATAGCAACGCCTGCCCCTGGGCCTGAGCTGAATGATTGAACTCATTGAATGCTCGGGCATGAGGCAAAAACACGGGCAACGCTTCTAATCATAGATTTGTTTGGGCGCTGCCAAACCTGCAATGCACGTGTTAACTCACAGCTGAGCGATAATTATCACCTGCCTGACAATACTTACTTGATTTTAGCTGTACCTGACTGTAGGATTTTCAGGAAGAGGCTAGATGTCCATCTTTGATTATTGATTACACTTGCATCGCCGCACATCTCGCGCAACTATAGGCCAGTTTAAATTAGATGTTTATTCTCACTGTAACTTTGTTAAACGAATAGAATTTTAACTAGTTACCTATATAATATATATATATATTTCTGTTTCAATCTGAATCTTAACATATATCCATGTGCTATGCCGTGCGTATCGCATTTACCAACCCATTTATCGCGAACATAAGCTGTTATCATAGAATATCGTAAGAGACACTAAATATTTTGATTTCTATAAGCTGTACACTCAGGGCATAAGGAACAAAGTATTATGAGTGAGCAGTAAAAATGGCATCATCGCTGGGTTTTAAATTTTTTATATAATTAACGAGAAGAGAGAGAAGTCTAAGATAAAGAGAGAGAGTAGTAACTCTGAGACGGGACAGGAAAACGGGTGAATACGGTGTGTATGCGAGGCGTGGAAACGGGGGTAACATATAGGTCGTGCGAGATGGTGTGTCAAGGGATGGGAAGTGGAGGCCGGGGAGAGATGGAGGTAAGGGGGTGAAGTGAGAGCAAGGGGAGTGAAGTGGGAGCAGGGAGGAGGTGGGACGCAGTGGGGGAGGAGGTGGGAGAAGAAGCTCCCGCCCCTGCTAAATTATACTGGAGATCCATGCGTCATACTGTTGAAATCTTTTATAGATAGCTTGTGAATCTATGACACAAATTCGAAGTGAAGGCAAGCATCATTTAATAAAATAATACGTCAAAAATCGCATGGGGGGAAGTAGTGAGCGTGTCCCTAACGAGATGATGTGTACGCAACTGCCGTATCTGCTGCATATCGCGGCAATGCACAGTGTGGATGCTGCAACCACAACACAGCCACCATGCACAGTGTGGATGCTGCAACCACAACACAGCCACCATGCACAGTGTGGATGCTGCAACCACAACACAGCCACCATGCACAGTGTGGATGCTACAACCACTTGCACTGATCACGCTTGGGCTATTCAATGACTTTCATATACTTAGTGTGCTCACACTCACAGTGCAGAATTTGAAACGTACACGACATAGTTTAGTACCGGTTCATATCACCCTGTGGACCTGTGGTACAATTTTACACATTTAAACTCTGCCTAAATAAATGATGATGTTGCTAATTAAAATGCGAAATGTTAAACGACGTTAGACAAAAGTGCTGAACATTCACAGGCATTCAGCATTTCAATAGGTTCAAGTGCTAGAATGATTATCACAGGCACTGACACCTGAACATTTGTAAATACATGTCTGAAACACATAACAGGGGGAGCGTAGTACAACCACTAACATTCGACGAATTCAGTTCAAAATTTTGAAACTGCATTTTAGATGTGTCGATCACAGCAATTTTCTACATATTGTATCAGTACACTAAAGGAAATAACAGCTAAGACTAACATAGTTTTGGATTAAACTTTCAATTTAAATCGCAGGATGTACCCGTTGCATATACGCCATCAGTCATTACTGTTTGCAAATAACACTACACTCAAACGTTTTGTTTGCATGTGCTGGCACAGATGAAAAAACTTTTTCATATTTTGTACCACGTTTTCTGAATTATTGCCTTATTCAAAAATGTTTGTGGTAATTGCATCTTATTTGTGCAGTTATCGATTTATGATTAACAACTTGGATTTTAAAAGCAATAATTTTATCAGTATAGCGTTTAGGTAACTATTCAATACAACCCTAGTGAATGCAAACAAAGCAAAGTGTGTAAACTATAAACATTTATATACTGTACACCATCTAATGTTTATATTCTCATAATAATAGTACTTACAATAAACAAATACCAACGTTTTTTCATTACACACTTACCTGTATCTGAATTTCTTAGGACTTCGCTACGCGTCTTACTGTTGTGGTACTGTGGCAGGCATAGCCTGCCTGCATAACCGAGGTGGCCGTTTGCCCACAGTTCAGTCTGTGTAACAAGCCAGCACATAGTTTGTATCTGAAACACAGAGAATTAGTAAACATTGTCAAGACACAAATGCTAAAATTAACGCACCTACTTATTCTGTATGACAGTATGAATACCAGTCAGCTGCGAGCAAGATAGAAGGCAGCGTTCATGCAATACTGCTTCCAACACATATTTGCAAGTTGTAGCACTTCAATAACCTACTCATTATTAGATTAGATTAGAGTTATTTATTTAACACACCGAGTGCATGTATTTTACTAATAAGTATACAACAGTACAAAGGAGAACCATATAACAACAGAATAACAATAGCAATATTATTATAATTGTTTCAGTATTTTTCAGTCAACAAGGATTGCTCATTTCTGATACTGTTATTGAGTAATTTCCAATTTTTATACCACTATTTTTAATGCACTAGTACTCTCACAAATTCAGCGGAACAAAGAACTAACAATACCTCTAACTGGCGAGATAAGTGGCCTAAACTACTAAGTGCAGTACTATGAAAAGGACCGCAATTCTCTTGGAATCACTTCCTGATTCTTATCCCGGCACGTCTTATAGTATGCTCTCTCACATGCCAGCACTATGTAATCATTCAGCACATTGAATCCCCTTGTTCTCTGATAAAAGCATAGTTTATGGTTCGTGTATTAGTGCTGTAAGTGGGAAATATTGAGGGTCAATGCTACATACGTAGTCGTTACTACAAACATATATCGTCAATCACATAAGGGGGCTGTGATTTTAAAACGAAATGATTTTTATAAACAAGAGCCGCAGAGCGTCTGGGCTCATCTGGGGTCTGTTGCTACGGTTATGAGCTACAATTTCAGTCGTGCGTAGTGACACATTTGTTAGGCGCAGATATGCAGATACGCAGTTGCGTACACATCATGTTAGGACACGCTCACTATCTCCCCCCCCATGCGATTTTGGTTTATTTTATTAAATGATGCTTGCCTTTCACTTCGAATTTGTGTCATAGATTCACAGCTATCTATAAAAGATTTCAACATATGAGCATGGATCTCCAAGTATAATTAGAGGGCGGGAGTCCTTCTCCCCACCTCCCTCCCCACTGCGTCCCACCTCTCCCCCTGCTCCCACTTCACTCCCTTGCCTCTCACTTCCACCCCTTACTCCCATCTCCCTCCCCTGCCTCCCACCTCCCATCCCTTGCACACCATCTCGCACGACCTAATTGTACCCGTTTCCCGCTCGCATACACACCGTAATCACCGTTTTCCTGTCCCGTCTCAATTTACTACTCTCTCTCTTTATCTTTAGACTTCTCTCTCTCTCTCTTAATTATATAAAAAAATTTAAAACCCAGCATGATGCCTTTTACTGCCCCTCAATAATACTTTGTTCCTATGCCCCTGAGTGTAACAGTTATAGAAATCAAAAATATAGTGTCTCTAATTTTCTATGATAACAGCTTATGTTCGCATAACTGGTAATGGTACGCACGGCCATAGCTACATGATATATGTTAAGATTCAGATGAAAATAAATATTATATATTATATGGTACTATTAAAATCTATTCGTTTAACAAAGTTACATGAGAATAAAATCTAATTTAAACTAGCCTATAGTTGCGCGAGAATGGCGCGCGTGCAAGTGTAATCAATAATCAAAGATGGCATCTGCCCTCATTCCTGAAATCCTACAGTAGGTACAGGCTAAAATCCAAGTAAGTATATTCAGGCAGGTGATAATTTCGCTCAGCTGTGAGTTAACACGTGCCTTGCAGGTTGGCAACAATATGATTGAGGGTGCCCGTGTTTTTGCCTCATGCGAGCATTCACTGATTCATCATTCAGCCTTCAGGCCCAGGGGCAGGGTGCTATAGACAGACTGCTTTAGAAAATGATATGATTTAAGGGAGCGTAAACTTGTTCAACAAATTTGCTTTGCAATTAACTGTGCAACTGTAGCTCACATTGAACAGGTATGGGCTCTAATAATAGCAAAGCAGTTCAGTCTTTGTAACAGTCAACAAATCAATGTTTAACCCTCCTCTTGAGGGTCAAAAGGTTATCCGACACTTACTTTCGCATGTCAGTGAAAGCAATATTTCATGTCCTTTCAAATAAAGCCATAAAATGCCAGGTCACGCTGAACAAAAAAGTTTTTCAATCGCTCCGTCAGACCATGTCCTCAGAAAATGTCTAAATCTGCCCTGCTGGCCATTGACCTTTGACCTGTGACTCACTTTCGCACAGTGTGGCTTTTCCTACCATGATGTATACACGACTATCACGAGCCTAGGTCGAGCCGTTTAGATTTGTGCCGCAATTCTGCATTCCTCCCTATACCTTAAGTTAAGGAGAATGTTCCCCCTTCTTTTACACCTCTTGCCTTTGACTTTGACCCCCCAGCTTCGACATCCAACTCGTTTTCGATTACCCCCCCACGTCCCGAATATCGTGACGCTACGTCGAGCGGTTAAGATTTGTGCCCAACTGTTGACGGAACGGCGGACGCTCGGACGTCATGCGATTCTACAAGCTGCATCTGACTATGTCAGATGAGCTAAAAACATAACAAGCTAGCATTGGGGGACAACTGAACAAAATGCTAATCTGAACACCTAGGAATTGGTAACAATAACGGGTTGCAACAGTTACAGGGCTTTACATATTTAACGGCACCCCAATGTGTAACTTGCAAGACACACTTGTAAGCGTTACTAATTGCAGTCAGTGTGTCACTGAGAAAGCACAATTATCTTAAAAGTACCAGCACATCTCAGTTTGACCTGCCATGCTGCCAACGTTACTAAATGCCATGACTTTCTGGAAAGCTTACAGTGCCCCCCCCCCTAGCTGTCACTTGCTTCTGTCTGATCAACTTACCTACCATTAGATCCTAATAATTGTAATTCTGGAAGCCTGGTTAGTTACAGTCAGTACGCTGTCAATCAAATTGTACCGAAAAAACGGCATTGCTTTTTAACAGAGCATGATTTCTGATGAAATCTCAATCGAACATGAAATGATTTTCCGGACACTATTATTCCAAACTTTAAAGAAGAAAACTCATTTACATCACCCGTAAAGACAGCACATGAATCCATAGGGATTTTTATGCAGGTCATATCAAAATCCATTAATATTCTACAACGTTTCAAAATAAGACCTGATGGCCACACTGGATTCAGTAATGATTGAACTAGTTGCATCGAAATGTATGCACTTGCAATTTTTTCCTTGCGTGCCTTCCCACACGTACTCTCAATTGACAAACGCTCTCATTTACGCTGTCACGTACAACTACTGTACATTATAGATTTTTTCCTGGATTCTGGCAACAAGTAGCTGGCACTATGAGTTCACAATATTTACATAACTTGCATAGATCGGTGTTGACACACTGCAGGTAATATAACTGATGTGATTGACACAGTCAGTCTGTCTTCGGTCAATCAACCAACCCTGGCACCAATCAATCAGCCAGTCAGTTCACTAAACAAGCCGGTCGGTCGGTCAATCGGTCGTTCGGCTGGTCAGTCAGGTTACTTTATTCCTTGCCACACTTATCCGGATTCCGTACGCATAGACAGGCGGTCACTTCACGGGACGAGCCTACCTTGCCATTTGGGATCCTCGTTTAGGAGGCTGCGCTCCTTCTCTAGGTTGTTGCCGTCCAGGCCTCCCATCGGCATCTCCTCGCCCGACTCCAGCGCCTGCTTCTCTCTCACGTCGTAGACGGGCGGTCGCAGGTCGTGCTCGCCGTGGGCGAACGCGCAGTGCGGGCCGTTCTTCATGCAGTTGCCGCGCGTGTCCGTCTCGTGCACGCACAGACACGTCTTGTAGTAGCGTAGATGGTAGCGCCGCTCCGTGTCGCCAGCCGTCCTGTGCAGGAAGGGGCAACTGCGAAAGAAAAAGAGAGCGTGGCGATTTCGGGGCAGACGTACGACTACGGCAGCCGTGCAGCGGTACGCAGCGGCGGAGGCGGCGCAGCGTCCCAACACGTCGGTCAGTGAAAACGCGCGCGACTTCTCCCTGCTGACAGGCAAGTATTACCGCAAGCATACAGGCCAAATGTACGAGTACTTAACAACGCAAAAATGTGCAAAACAGAATGCAGATTTTAAAGATTTGGCCGAGGGTATTTATTGGCATTTAAATAAGAATATAGAAATAAATATTTATATTTCTAAAGGCAATACAACCCCCAAACATACCGTTTGTACACACAATACACAGTATTTGACAAGACGACTTCCCACTTTTAATTGTGTCGTCAAACATGACATCTTGCAATTGTATTTTTAGGTTGTATGTTTGTCAACATGTTTTGGGTATTAAATTTCTGTGAAATAGTGTCAGATATTATCCGTGGTTAAAAACTGATAAGTGCCAGTTTGGTTTGCTTAGTTACTTTATGAACACACTTGCCAACATCGGCTAGCCGAAAAACCTGGTTTTACACACTGATACGCGTGTACATAATTATATAAAACATGCTGCATGAATGGTGCAACCAATGATGCTAAAAACTCTGCACTGCAAAAACTAACTGCCAAGAGAAGGAGATTATTTTCTCCTACTAATTAATCATTCCAAAGTTTTAAAAACTGGAGTGGGTATAGTCCGGAACGGACGCATGTTGTGGAACCGATAAAATAGCAATAGCTCCTTCTGATACAACTACAACATTATATTATCAAGAGCTAATAATAATTAACTATTATTTAACCTAATAATACCTAATACAGTGCTCAATTTTAAGGTTTTTTTTGGTTGTCCGGAAGACAACCAAGAGAGTAGCATATGGTTGTCCCTCAAGAGTTTTGGTTGTCCAGATATTATTTAAATATGTGCTGCATGCGCTCTGCTCACGTGATGCTCAGTGCTGTAAAGCAAAAGGCCTAATCATGTACATTTTGCACGTATTGCAGTGACAGCAGACATGGCCATTCGCATTGTTTCACTCATTATATGAAGAGAATAAAATATTGGTAATGTGGTAAATGATGCTGGGATCAATGACGTGTAATAATAGTAATTAAAAGTTGCATGAAATTTATTTCATAACATTTACATTAACACTGTGTCAAGTCACAGATGAGCAAAAATTGAAAATTAACAAATTAAACAAAAACAAAATTTCAAAATTAATTTAGAGGTTGGACACCGGACAACCACAGAAGCAATTTGTAGTTGCCCGAGAGAAAATCCAGTCGTCACGGACGACCGGACGACTGTTAAAATTGAGCACTGCTAATAGCTCTTGATACTATACAACTTTATTCTAATGAACAAGCAGTCAGCTGTACTCAATTTACCATCCTGTTAATAATTAGCATCCAAATCTTATCTGAAACTAAAAAGAGGTTTAGAAGTTATTTTGCAATCATAGGAAAACTATGTAGTTCAGCTTTCCCCATCTGCAGCTTTTATACTAGGCTGCCTTCGACAGTCACGCTGCATAATAATTAAAGGTGAGCACGTGAGTATACACGCACATTATACAGCATTTTGTGTGTGTTACAAATGGAATTCTATAATATAGGTACAGCTGTAGCTTGTGTATAGATAGAACTCCCCATTTAAACTTCTCTTTGACACACACGCACACATGCACGCACACACACACACACGCACGCACGCACGCACACACACACTGTCACACGCATGCACGCACGCACGCACACACACACACACTGTGCGTGCATGCGTGCATGTATGCTATAATTCTACTTCACCTCTCACACAACGAATGTTTGACCTTTGCTGAAAATAGCCAGATGGCATTATAGATTATGGTAGCCAGGTAGCGAATTTTTTTCCCCTACACGTTATATCCATTGGGCTTGATATACGCATATCAACTTCCGCATCAGACTTTCCGTATATCAAAGAATGATGCACCCTAACCCTAACACTAACTATAAACCGAATCGGCCTATATACTATCTATGGTATCCCAAACACTATCTATGGTGTGGTCAAATCAGAGGAGCCAATCAGAGGAGCCCAATGGATATAACGTATAGGGGAAAAAAATTCGCAGCCGGGTAAGACGGCAATAAAAGTTACTGAAATTAAATGAACATCCTGCAAGCATTTGACCCGCATCTAGGTTACAATGGTTCTCTGTCGTTACAACGTCGTTTGCAGTACGCTGTTACATACTACTCTGATTAGTAGATACCACGCAATGATATATTACCTGACATTGCAATAAAGCACATGTAATATGTGTTATTCTACATTAATATCAATTATCTCAGTATTCCTATTGGATCATGATCCCCCACCAAAAAAACGAATCTAAGCATAGTGACTGCAAACTTTTTTAAGCAAAAGAGATTACCAGAAATTTACGAAAGTGAGTCTTAGAAAGCCACATACCGCAAGAGTTACAATTGGCATAAATTACTATGGGATCACTCAAACCGTTGACAACTAGTTTCAGCAGATAACCTTACTACATAGAGGATGTAAGCTTGAAGTGGATATTGTTTCATGTCATACATTTACCTAGCACACATTATGATAATCTTGTCGGCTACAAAATACTCTATCGAGCACATTCACCGCGGAAAAAGAACTAGCACATAACAGCTGCCACACGGATAATACGCTTCCAAGGAATATTCATAAACACGCTCAGCTGGCTGTAATATTAGATGGGCGCCACGACGATTGTTGTCAGACAGCCGGATTGAGTGAAACGCAGAAGAAAAAGGGTTGAAAATTGGCAAAATCCAATCTAGCACAGCAGCCTGATGTAGGTCAAATCGATATCTGGGTAAAAGCGGCAGCCCATAACAACCTCTAATAAAGGACTTTCAGAATGCAATACAAATGTTACGATCAGGTTTAGTAGTTACATGTACATTCAGTGGTTTAGCAATATTCTTACTAAAATATTTATAAGCCGTTTTCTCCCATCCAATTGAATTAATAAATTACATAAAATAATTAAAACTATGACGAAGGTACTGACAAAAGTGACACGCAAGCCATAATGCCACATGATACATCCACATATTTACTGGCTTATTTAATCTATATTAACATTTATATGCGATCAAAAAATATAACGATATAAGGATATTATGAATAACTATATATGTACTATATATACTGAGTAACTTCAAACCTGTGTGCCTATTTTCCTACATACTGCAATAAACACAAATACTCGCCTTGATCTGTACAACATGTACTCTCATCACTTCATACCCACAACTATTTGTTTTTGATTCAATCACTAAAAATTGCACACTATTTATGCTTTAATAGGGAATGATCACTGATTTGCTGTATGTATTTCGAATCTGGCAGCTCTCAGTACCTCCTAAAGAAATGTTGAATCATGAAAGAAATATTGGATCCCGTACTGCTTCTTCCTACTAGATAAAAAATTGTCATTATATACACGACTCTTTGTATGTTGTCAGGTGATAACTCACTACACTGGGCCACTGTTGTTCGCAAACAAACCGAATGCTTAAGGCGCTTTAACTAGTATATAGGTCAAACAACACACAAGACCTAGATAAAGATGCAGTACGGCATCAGCATAGTAGAGCACAAAACATGGTCAATTATAAACAAGTAATGACATGGCTTTTAAAAATGCATTCATCTAGAGGCCGAGGTAAAACAACTGCAAGTCAAATCAATAAATAACATTTGTATATATATAATAACTATTAGATTTTTAATTATTCACTAATGAAAGCAATGACAGCCGTTGAGCACTACGATTTTCAGACACAAACCTATGGAAGTGGTCTCACATGGGCAGAGTGACAGCAGACTTGAGGTTAGTAGCCTCATACAACTAACCAGTCTCTATTAGCAACTGCCTCCCAATTTTATTATAGAAATTTGCACCAAGTACTCATGTATATCTGTATGGTCGCCTCCAAATCTATACATAACATTCATGACTAAACACACTGCTCAGTGCACCTTTCCTGACAAGTCAAATTAAAAATGAGGTTTGTTCCAGGTGAAATAATAATTATGTGAAACATAGTTAAGTTTAAAGTACTGTACATGCCATATTTTTCGTGTACAGATATTTTCGCCAATTCAGACTTGACGGACAATTTCGCGAGTGGTTAATTTCGTGGTGGGTGAATTATGAATTATGCAGTATTATTCGGTATGAATTATTTGCATGTTGTTATTTTCGCGGTCGGGGGCGAGTTTGCAAAATTGACAAAAATTAAACCACCGCAAAATATATGTACAGCGTATACAGTATGTGTCGTCAATACACTATCTCACAGGTAGGATATAATATCTATAACAATTTTTAATAATTACAACATCTGATAGTCTGGCTGATAGGGTCTATGTCCACCAGTGTACTGCCGGAACGTACCCTGGGTACGGTCCAGTATACCGGAACGTACCCTGGTAACTAGCTAATATGCCGGACCGTACCTCGCCTACTCCAAACCGTAACCTGATTTTCAGCCGATGTCGTAATACATACCGCTTGTCGGCAGGAAATGCGCCGCTTTATGCTCCCGTTCCTTGTTTCCGGTCGGTTCCCGCAAAATATTCGTAACCCTTACCCTGTTACGTTTCACCTCCCGACCCTTTCTACAAGTGTCAGCGAATCTATACGTTTCCAACACATTAAGATAATCATACAAATTTTCCTGTTCCACCACAACACTTGGAGCCATCTTTCAAAAATCTCGCGCGAATATGTCGTAAACATTGCGAAAGGAAAACGCATTCCCGATCATCGCGATATTTGCAAAAGGATTGCATGCATCAGTGTATATATATGTTGAAATTTCTTCTTGGTTTCACAGTTTCATACTCCAATCCAACTTTATAAAGATATCATACAGGTCTGTATGTATATTTCAAATTTTGCGACATCAGTAGTGGGCGGAACAGGGACAGTCACGGTACGGTAGGGAGTAAGCGAGGTACGGTCCGGCATATCAGATAGTTAACAGGGTACGCTACTAGTAACTAAGTACTACAATACTGAAAGATACTGTTAAATATCATTATAACTGCTACAAACCATATCACACACCTAGGAGGGAAGGATGTGCATACAATTACTGGCACTTATTACCTTTAATGTTCATAGGAATGCAACTAACTATGCCCCTAGGCCCTAGTCTATGACTGTGAGTGTCACACTGAAGCAAACATTGAGCATCAACACAATCAGGTAATGCCAAAACTGGGAAACTGATTGCTAGAAAACTTGTTAAATGTGTAATTGAAACGTCGAGCACTGGATTACGAATAAAACAAATGACGATAGGGAATTTTTTTTATAAAATGGCACAATTTGTAGGATTACACCTATAGTTCAATTAAAATAATCATTAATATATTGGTAACAAAATCCAATCAATGTATACATATATGCTATCAGGCTGCTAGTTAGTATTGCACTAGTTATTTCACTGTGGTTAATTAAACTACAGGGTGTGTGTTACTGTTAGCTAATCCTAATCAGGCTAATGCAATGATGATGCTGTGAAAGAGAATATATATTTGAATTTTACTAGTAGGACTACTGTCTCCTGTCGCAAATTCCGTACGTACTCGATCCTAAGTAGAAGTTAGATCATAGAGATAGACATAGAGTTGACAGACATACATGGTTAAATAAGTATTAATTATTTGAAAAATATAGCAATACATACTCGTCTCCATCCGGACAGAGTCCAGTGGTCTCATCGTATTTGGTACAGTAGACATCAGGACTATAATTAAAATTTCCATCTCGCTTCCTGATGGGCCGTCTCCGGCGTTGATTCATAAAATGCCAATGGAAACAGGTGAAGGGTCTGTGTTGGGTACATTTGTGTTGAAGAAACAGTGGACACTGTTCAGTCCGAAATTCCTTCAAATAGCTGCAAAATAAAGAACGCTCATCAAAAACTATTCAGCGCACTATTGCCTAGATTTCTCATGGATTCTCATACAAATGCTACATACAAACATGGGCGTACTTACGTATAATGCTTTGGGTTTTCCGTTTGCGCTTGTAACGCAATCTTCTGTTCTGATGGCATTTTCCTTGAAATGATGGCGCGCACAATTGTCTCGCGGAGGATTCTGGGATATATTTTGATATTTAGCATTGGTCGCATTAGGTCAGGTGGGCGGTGACGTCAACTATGTTTACACACAAACTTGCGCAACGTGAATACGTACAGCAGCTGCCTGTCTGTTTATGGCACTTTGCTGCGCAGCTGACTGTAGTATTATTATGATTAGAGATAGGTACAGTAGGGACAATTAAGCCAATAAGTGATTCGATTTAACGGATTAGCATGTACCAGTTTCTATAGGAAGGATGCGCGAGTTTCTATCCAGCGACGGTGAAATACATAAAGTCATGAGAATGATGAGATATGATAAAGTATATATATAATGTGGCATGTCAACATCGCGAGCAGAAAACAATTTCGGCTTTTGCTGCCAGAATCACCCGGCCCGCCCTGGAGTTTTTATCAGCAATACGTCCAATATAAATATATAGTCAAATAAATTTATATGTGAGTTTACCCCTGATGTAACGTTATTGTGATTATCCAAGATTATTCCATATACTGGAGCGCGATTCTACCCCAGATTTAACTTTCCATTTCGTACCACGTAGTTTCTATATATATCGTGCAACCACTCGCTATAAAAGCTGGGACGGGTGGAAAAAATATATACAAAAAATGATGTTTTTTTGTGTGTGCAAAAACTGGGCATGCGCAATGACAGATCTGACTGATGTAATATGCAACTGTGATTTTGATTTTATACAAGTCTAAAAATCCGCTGATATTTATACATTTTTATATTTGTTCTTAACCAGAATTGTTATTTACTTATGTTTGTCGGAATAATAGCCCATCAGGGCTAACGTTTATTGTTTGTGATATCCGACAAAGATTCTTGTATCTTGACTATCGGCTACGTTAGCAGATATATACCCGACATACCCAGTTTCTGTTTTGCATGGTAATGTGTGTGCGAGCGCACATGCCCACTATCTGCCGAAAAGAATCGTATATTTTGTCGATATAGAATGCATGATAATTGTAACATTGATATATTTTGTATAAGGTCGAATAAAAAACCCATGAGTATATATATTCATTAGCATAATATATAGGATGCCAACGTAACACACAAACGCACGCACCCACGCGCACAGGCCCGCAACACGCACGCAACACGCACGCACGCATGCGCGCAGGCACACATTACACGCACGCAACACGCACGCGCGCGCACGCACGCAACACGCGCGCACGCACGCACGCACGCACGCACACACACACACATACAGATGAAATCGTTCATAAAGTATATGAGTGAGTTTAGCAAGTACTGTACGTGCATGTACGTCCGACCACCCCAAGAAAAATCCGGGGTTATACTCCATTAGGAGTGTTCCCAACTTTAATGTCATTAATGGTCATAATAACAT